AGAAAGTCGTCTTATACGCCGGAAAATACGGTACTTATTTAATTATCTAAACATTTAGATTAAAGTATCATATTCTATACTGCCATTGCATCAAACATTTGCAGATGGTACATGAATGATAGCCTTTTAAGCACTGAGCTTAATGAGTATATATTAATTCACAGGATGTCTGATGGATTAGGCAGCTTACTGTTAAACTCTGAATGAGTATATTGCCATGACAAACTTTCAAAAATACAAATCAGGTGTGATTCATGTTACATTAACCCACTTCATTCTGCATTAATTGATGACAAGTTTGAAATCTAAGTGTTGTGATTGATATTTTCCAAACTATTGTATTACTGTTTTGGTTTTGTGAACTGATAAACCCTCCAATGTACTTAAAGTTTCATTCTGAATCCATTTCATGGGCCTGAGAAAGCAAATTAAATGACTGAAAGCTTATAAGAAAAAAATATAGTATCACAAGTCATGATTGTGATTTGAGGTGGTTGATTTGAGGTGGAAGCCTTCTTCCATTGAGTTTCTAATCTAGTTAGTTTTCTATATTTAAACATGGCTGTTTTAGCCATGTGAACTATGGTTAATGTTTTCCTGATTATTGTACAGGTTTTTTCTCTTTGCCAGGAGACTGCTTTTCTGTATATAGTCTACAAAATATTAAATTGTTGTTGGGGGGGGAACCATGAAAACATGCAAATTGTTAGTATCTTCCAAGTATAATAACAGAGCAGATTTTAAAAATACCCATATTTCTTAGAAACAGAACTATAGTTATGTTTGAGATATCTCTCCTGTGTCTGGTGGTAAGCTATGCGTATTGCCTTTTAAGGGACAGCTCATTTTATATGCCAATCTTCCACACTATTTATTTTCAGAACATTATCTGTGCAGAAACCATACATTTACATCTTACCTTATCAAGGAGTAAACCAATTTGATGCATTTTCCGTTTATTTATTTTTTTCAGGAGGAGCATGAAAAGAAAAGCAATGTTCACATGTCCATTCAATGGTGACTGTAAAATTACCAAAGATAACCGGAGGCACTGCCAAGCTTGCCGGCTGAAGCGTTGCGTTGACATAGGCATGATGAAAGAATGTGAGTAAATGTAGTCCCTTCACTTCTTTGCACAAGAGATTTGGGAAGAGTTAGTAGCTTGGGCTTCTTTATTTAAAAAATATTTTGAAAAGTCCAGATTCAGGTTTCCAGGCACTTGTTCACTCAACCTGTCTGGCTGTGTCTCTTTCTCTCATTTAATAGGATGCCACACACTCTCCTTCTAACGTAGGTAAAATATCCCCACGTATTTTCTTTATAGAGCCTATTACGCAGTTTATCAAAAATTTTGAGGAATACCACATAAGCCAAGAGTCAACAATATGGCACCTGTGGGAACCATCACATGCTTGGCACCATTGGCATTCCAAAATTATGGCTACTACCTGAAATCTTATACGATTTGGGGTAATAAATACCCAACACCCTAAGATTTTAGGTGAGAAAATCACAATCTTGCAAACTCAGAGCAAATTCATTATTTATTTTTGCTAACCTTGGCATCCACATCAGGAACGTCTTGCAGTATTTGTTGAGACTGCCAGCAGCCGCTGAGACACAGGTTGCATATTTTAGTCCTACAGGAAAATGTGTTTTTGTAGCAGTACCGATTTCAAACCTACGTGTGCATTCTTAACTTTTTAGCTTCATGATTAAGAAAGTTTTAGTTGAGGAGGAAAAAAAATCAGTTTTATTCAGATGGAAGGGCTGTAATGAATCAATGGGCAGTTTAAGAGTTCTGAAATGCTTTTAATCATTTGTAGTACTTTCAGTTACTTTGAGTGCGATGACATAGAGACAAGGCAATATATTGTTGATCCTATTAGACAGCAGCAGAGAAATGCAGTCTGGAAAAAGGCTATATAGACTTCCTGGTTATGACTATGGTAAATATAGTTAGTAATGATTTTTTAAAAAAATGCTTTAATTACAACTTCTAAAACACAAATATATATTGTTCCACTCAATGAAAGTAACATTCTATAAATTATTTCTAAATTACATTCGTATTTATTTCCTAAAATCTGCGCCCATTTACTTACTCTGATTATTACCAATATTATTCTGGACAATCTTGAGAATATACATTTTCATTGCTTTTCCCATCATACATTCTTTTACCACAAATTCACTTGAAACCAGTTCCTCTACCTTGTTCTGTCTCAACTATAGATTTCTGGAGGAGAGGGCATTCTTGGGCTCAAAAACCAGAGCCTTGCTTCCTGAAGTTTTGAGCATTGTTTTTCCAAAAGCTAGGGCTACCAGGTCTGGTCAGCAAATACTTGGACGGCATCCTATTTCTGTGGCAACACAGAAAAAAGGGCAAATATTGCTACGATACACTAGTTCCCTGTATTCCTATAGCCCAAGTCTGGTAGCTCTAAGGGAGTAGTAACTAGCTTTCCTAAATTTGGAAATAAGTAGAATCAGAAGGAAAATTAGTGGTCTTGGGAAATAGTAGTAGTAGTAGTAGTAGTAGTAGTAGTAGTAGTAGTAGTAGTAGTAGTAAAGTTGGAAGGGATCTTGGAGGTCATCTAGTCCAACCCCCTGCTCAGGCAGGAAACCCTATACCAGTGATGGCGAACCTTGTAGAGACCGAGTGCCCAAACTGCAACCCAAAACCCACTTATGTATCATCGGGTGCCGGGTGGGCGTGGCCCATTGGGTGGGCGTGGCTGAGGTGGCAACGGCAGACTGGGTGGGACTAAAAAGTTCAATCAATCAATTCCAACTTTGCGAGATCTTTTTTTTTCCTGCGAGAAGTTGAAATTGATTGATTGATTGATTGGTTGAACCTTTTTTTTGCACACAGCAGCGGAGGGCTAAAGCGTAAAGGTTTTATAAAACCCAGCTGAAGGCCTAGGACTGGGGCGATGGTGCGTGTGCCCACAGAGAGGGCTCTGTGTGCCACCTGTGGCATGCATGCCATAGGTTTGCCACCACGGCCCTATACCATTTCAGACAAATGGCTGTCCAGTCTCTTCTTAGAAACTTCCAGTGTTGGAGCATTCACAGCTTCTGGAGGCAGGTTGTTCCACGGGTTAGTTGTTCTAACTGTCAGGAAATTTCTCCTTAGTTCTAGATTGCTTCTCTCCTTGATTAGTTTCCATCCGTTGCTTCTTGTCCTGCCTTCAGGCGCTTTGGAGAATAGCTTGACTACCTCTTCTTTGTGGCAGCCCCTGAGATATTGGAACACTGCTATCATGTCCCCCCTCGTCCTTCTCTTCATTAGACTAGACATACCCAATTCCAGCAACCGTTCCTTATATGTTTTAGCCTCCAGTCCCCTAATCATCTTTGTTGACCAGTGAAGGATATGTTACAAAAAGTTGGCAACAAATTGTTATTTTAATAGGTTTAAGGTAGAATATTAAGCAAGAGGAAGCACTTTCATTTCACGGAATTTGGGTCATATGGCTCTGGAGGCTGCACAGAAGTTTTTGTGGGGGTAAATACAGGTCCTATGACTTATGTTGTAAGCTATATCCATGAAGACTCCATATTTTTGAGACCAAACTTACATTAGACCTAGAACTTTTACTGTGCATGGGGAATGTCATGAGAATACATCCTGAAAGACATAAACAAACTGCTGCTGATGTATTAGAAGTGTTCCACTCTGTAGGAAATTCATTTGTGAGTATAGTCTTCATCTAGCAGTTAAGGTACCAAGCTAGAAACCAGGAGATTGTGAGTTCTATTCCTGCCTTCGGCGTGAAAGCTGGCTGGGTTACTTTTGGCCAGTCATGCTCTCCTAGTCCATGACATCAGGTCGGTCAATTCTTGTGGCAACCAATGGATCTGAAAAAAGAGGATTCTGCACTTGCATGAAAATGCTAGGAAGAAAAAAGAAAATGAGCTCAAACTGCCATGTAATATTTTAGCTCTTAAAACATTTGAAGGAGATGTGAGATATTAACGTATGGTTTGCTATGGTTCTATAATGTTTAAAGGCAGTGTATGGTGTAAGGGCGGCATGGAAGCAAAAATGATTTGCCAAGATAGAAAGGATACTGCGTGTTAGTTAGCACAGCTTTTGCTTTGTGCATTGGCTGAAGCTCCCAGGCATTCTTGAGAAGCAGCCTGACATAGAGCACATTGCTCTGTCACAGGTAGACTTAAAGGCAGGTAGACTCTTGCCAGGTTTGAGCAAGTGTATTTCCATTTATTTGATCTTTAACAGGAACCTGGAAATCAAAGGACAACACTGGGCTATGGAGCAAGTGTAGACTGTAAACCTATTACAGTATTTTAGGGGAAGAATACAATGCCTTTCAGAATAGATTGTAACTTACACACACACATACACACGCACACACACACACACCAAAAGTAGAACAATTGAAGAAAATAATCTTCATCTTGTCCATATTATTTGATGCAGCCCTTCATTCAGAGGTATCTATTGGTTCTTTGTTATTAGGCGATACAAAAGAAGAAGACAAATTGAGCATCATTCGTTTACTTATGGCACTTTACTCCAAAACTCTAGATCAGGGCTTCCTAAATGATTTGCCATCATGCTTCCCTTTAGTGTAATTTCAATGTATACACTTCTCCTAAAAATACAAACACCAAAATTAATACCAATGAACAATGAAAACGATACAATGAAATTTTGAGAAAGGTGAATGTATTGTGCCAATGTATAAGTAAAACGTTCTTCACACCTCCCCTGGACTCTGTCTGCACCACCCTGAGGGATGTATACCTCAGAGTTTGGGAAACCTGCTCTAGATAGTATCTGCTACCATTTTATGTGCATATTAAACAACAAAAGGGAAACAGTACACTGGGACATTCTTGTATAATGCAACAATAAGTACTTTCCTAATATAACAACGGTATAAGGAGGAATAAAATTTTTCAATATGCTACGGCAAGTAACCTGTCCAACCAGACAGTTCTGAAGAATGCCATAATCAACAGAAGTTGCTAAAATATCCAAGAGAATTAATATGGATTTGCTCTATCCATCCATATCCAACCTTTGGTCATTTACCAAGAATGCTAAAGCAATTGAAGTCCCACATCCCACTGAACTTTTGACCAAAATATGTCCAGACAAAAGTATCCTCTGGGTTTTAGAGTTGCTAAGTTTCTGGAATTGGTAGCAGAAGATGGTACTTCCTTCCCCAGTCCTTCTATGATTTTTTTTTTTTTGGTTTATGGTTTGCCACAATGTTCCTTCCTCTCTTGCTTTTTAACAACTTTACGAAACATTGGAGGCAGAATTATCTGAAGAATTGATCTGACGTATTGCCAAGATGTGGGTGTTAGTTGACTCTGCTTTTCACAGACATTATGCCTCTGCTTATTTTATTTATTAGATTTTTATGCTGCCTTTGTTACTTTGTAAGTAACTCAAGGCAGAGAACGTGCGTAACACTTCTTCCTCCTCCTATTTTCCTCACAACAACTCTGTGAGGTGAGTTAGGCTGATAGAGAGTGGCTGGCCCAAAGTCACCAGCCAGCTTTTGTGCCTAAGGCAGGACTAAACTCCGGTTTCTGAGCCAGCACCTTATCCGCTACACCATACTGGCTTATTGGGAATAGTATGATGAGCATGGCAGCAGAACTTTTCCTACAGTGATTCTTCTGTTACCTCTTACTGGTCCAATAAAGCTTCTTCCGTGTATGTATTGAAAACTGCCCATTTTCTCAGTTGCTTTGTCCTATATTGGTTGATTGGACAACTGAATGAAAATTATTTTAGCCGTAACTGGTCTTGGATTTTACTACTAGCCTTTTTTTTGGGTGTCTAATTTTTTTTAAATATCTATATTATTTTTTTAAAATATCTATATTAAATGTGTTTTGGATTATTTAAATTTTTGCTTATGAAATATTTTTTTTAAATGTATAGTTACCTAACCATTGCCTGCTTCACATCGTAGCATTGATCAAATTCCCTGCCTTTCGTATAGGAATAGGAAAAGTTCATAGGACAATTTCTTGAATAAGCTGATTTTTATCCAGATGTGTTAAAGGTGGACCAAAGCAGGACATTGGTGTCACAGGACTGACTACGAGGCAGGTTT